CTGTTTACAGTGTCTTTATTTGAATATCATTTTGTAAGCTTTAATTTTGTAACTTGAACAACTATTTCTAAGATGACAACATGCAACTTATCAGCTAGTGATTTCTTACTGTTTATTTTTCTGAATTTCTGTATTACTTCTACTCTTTTTTTCTGTTTTTTTTTTCTCTCTCTTTAAATTAAAAAAAAAGAATAAGCGTTAGGTCAACATACCAAGCACCCCAAATCCTAGGTATGCGAGAATGACTTAGGGTAGTCCGGGTGAGGCAGTGTCAGTTAGAGCCCTGGGGTCAGCTGTCCCAGTGCGTGTTTAACTCTCTCCACTCCTCCTTTTGTTTCCTGAGAGATTAATGGGTCCAAGCTCCCAGTGGGTGCTGCAGACAAGGTGGGGCTTGGCCAGGTCACCCACGCCCAGCTGCTGTGTGTGTGGTGACAGCCACATCCATCCCTTCCTCTGGAGAAATGTCCTTTGCTGAGGGCAACTGCATCCTCAGGGAGGCCACACGGGTACTGCCTGAGGACAGCCCTCAGCCCCTGAGTGACAGACAGCAGTCAGGGACTCTGGCCCTTGACTTGCTGGGAGCAAAGCAGTGGCGCTCTCGTGTCCAGAGCACAGCAGAGCTCCACCTGGCCTGTGGCAACGTGGGGTGCAGGCTATCACTGTTTCTGTTCTCCTTCATTCCCTTCTTCTAAGGTTTTCTTTCCCTCCAGGAAATCCCTGTTTTAGCTCTGTCTGAGGCCCCAAGCACAGCCTGCCGGGTACTGGGTTAGTCCATGAGCCATGTCCATTCTCCTGTGAAGCAACTTTGGATTCAGACATTGGCTTTTCCAGCTCACACCAAGGTGTACTGGAGCCAATACCATAATGAACAACAGCCACACACAACACACAAGAGGAAGGGGTGACATTCTGAACCGTTTAAAGAGCAGTGCTACCAGCATGATATAATTGCTTTATTTAAAAGAATCAATACCTGCCTACGCCTACCACTGATTCATCAATAAATGGCTTCTTAATTACCCAAGTGTCTGCATGGATTATTTTAATTCATTTACGCTGTCACTTGCTAACACTGGATCCTAGTTAAAATGTGGGATACACTCAGGTTTATCCACTCAGAAGGAAAGCGTCTCCTGCTTTTTATTTATAAGATCATTTTTTGTGTGTCTGCAGAAACTGGTCACCAAAACCTGAGAGGAGCATTTTAATTACATTTCTAAGATAATATCTCTTCTGTCAATGATAACTGTGACAACTGATCAGTTACATAGCTTTGCTCACACTGTGCAGCGTGGGAGGCTTTGCAGAAAACCTCTCAGAAAGCCAGGCCTTGCTGTCTTTGCATATTCATACACCTTTTTTCACTTTATGCAAACGAGACACCAGAGGACTATATTGAAAAATCCGGGTAGTGACCAAGGAAGGAAAAAAAGACAGCACCAAGCTTTTGTTTAAGAAAGGGACCCCTGAAGGGACTCTGGTGATGTCTCCACACTCCAGCCCAGCTCTGCAGCCTTCATCCCTTTAGCCAGGTAAGAGATGACCTGCGGGCAGGGCCGCTGGAGTCCAGTTCCAGGTTTCAGCGTGATATTTTTCCCACAGTCGTGATACAAAGGGAGAGGAGGAGAAAAAAGCATACAAGATGCACAGAATACATTCTCTACGTCCACACGAAAGCCACACTCTCCTAGGGCCGATGGTGTCCATAGAAACTGCCACCCAAGACCCACGGTCTTTCTCCTCTCCCCAAGTCCTCAGATGAGGACAAAAGGTGTCAGGGACACATCCGGCTAAGGTCGCTGCTGAGACACTTGTGACAATTTTAGATCTCAAGGTCAGGAACCAACACAAACAAGAATCTTGTTAACAGAGAGTCTAACTATTGCCTCCATTAGGAAAGGAAGACGGAGTTAGCCCAGGTATAGGTGAGTTTCCTTATTTCTCTGTTTTAACATCCAAATGTTGTCAGTATGCAAAAACAGAAAACAAAAGACAGCAAACAACGACTTGCATCATATCCTCTTACAGAATTCTAAATGTTTACTTGTTACCTTTTATTTTGTACCAGGAATCAAACTCAGGATCTTGCACTTGCCAGGCAGGTGCTGTGCCACTGTGCCACATCCCTGGCCAACCGTAATTATTTTATATATTTTTAAACACAATATATGTGATACTTGCTTTTAGGTGTATACTAACTTTTAAATGCTAGGTTTTAAATGCCACTGATGGCATTTGCAAAAGGCATTATTTTTCTTAAATAATTGTTTTTATCATAGAACTTAAATTTATTTGATTTGTTCATGTGCATACATAATAGAGTGACCCTGAATGTTAAATGTACATGAACACAAGTTATTCTGAATATTTTGTATAATGTCTTCTATTTTAATAGAACAGAAAAATAATTTTTCAAATTCATATTTTGGATAAAATGGATAAACATGTATTCATTTTAACTGCTTCATAAAAGGTTTACCATATAATTCACCCAGTTCCTTTGACAGTTTGTCTACTGATAGAAATGTAGGTTGTTTCAAAACCCAAATGTCTTGGTTGCTTTTCTCTCATTGCTGGGACAAAATGTCTGACACCCAAAATGAAGGAAGGCGAGGTTTATTTATCTCACAGTTTGTGGAGGTTTCAGTCCGTAATCAGCTGGCTCCAAGGCAGGGTGCCATGGCACTGGGGCAACACATCAAAGCAGCAGCCAGCAAAACACAGCCAGAGCAAAAGGAGGGCGGACAAACCTTTTCTCCTCCCTTACACTGTGCACAGGCCTCTCCCATACCCCACCTGCAGGACAGTGTAGCACTCAGGAAACCTTGCACAGGATGAGGATGTTTACAAAGTAAGGACTCTGGCTCCCTGCTGAGTCTTAGTTAAACTTCTAAACTTCTCAAGTTGACACAATGTATCAACCATAACAACAGAATTATTTACAATAATTATAACCATAATAATCTAACATTTGACATCCTTCAGAATACATATCAGTGGGAAGATCCCTTCAGGGATTCATCTATTATAACTTGTATAATATACAATGTATTGCTATGTGTTTTACCAGGTAATTTACATGTGTATCACAAATGTACATTTCAGATGTTTATGTTACTTACCATTGCATATTTATTCATATTGAATTCGGCTTGCTAACGTATTAAAGGGCTTTACAGTCCCCATCCCTCACTCTGGGTGACCTTTATTTTTCCTTGTCCAGTTCAGAGATCTGGCCTCGTAGTATAGATGGAAGTTTCTCTGCTCTTTTAGTTTTGGGAAATGGTTTACGCATCAGAGGAGCTAAATGATTTGTGAAGGTTTGGTAAATGTAGCAGCAAGGTCCTCCATCCCTAGTACAGTTCCCTGTGTATTTTGAGAATTAATCAAGGGTTTACGTGGATTTTCTTTTCTCTGTCAGTGTGGGTAATTGTTTTCAAAAATTGCCATTGACATATTGTTCTTTCTTTTTCTCTTGTTATTGGCTTATAATTATTGTCATCCATCTTTCTGCTTCCATTTTTACTCAGCTTCAGGTGATATTGGTTTTGATTTGTTTTGCTGAGATTAGACACTATTGAGCATTGTTTACAGTGTACAATCTTTGTTTAGCTGCTGTTTGCTTTTTTCAAGCGTGTTTATCACATGATTCCTTAATTTCTTGCCCTATTTTTAAAGCTTGTTTTGATTATTACTTACTTCTGTGTCACTTTTTTTTTCCAATTTCAGCTCAAGGCTTGGTTCATTACATTTTCTATCTTTGTTCTGTTAAACTATCTAGGGTCAAGACAATAAAGCTTTCTATAGAAATTCCTTAAACAGAATCTTAAAAGTTTTAGTATATGGCATTTCTATTATTATTTGAGTCCAAATTTCTAAGTTTCATTATTATTCTTCTTTGGATACATGAAGTATAAACAAATGTCTTTTATTTCTAATGCTTATTTTTGTCTGAATATTACTTTTGGTGTTGAGTCTTCATATTAGAGCCAAAGAATGTGTTTCCTGTAATACTGAGAGATTTCTCTGTTCAGAAAATGACAGTGAATATAAGCATTCATCTTCACAGACCCTGGAAAGTATGAGGAGCTTCAGAGTTCAGGAAAGGACTGGAATGGAGCAGGTCACGCCAGATGACACTGAGAGCCAGCCTCAGGACAGAGCCCCGGTAAGCAGGCGTCATCACCAGGGACACCAGGAGGTGTCGCCACACAGGCAGCCACTTAAAGGAGCCTTCCCAGTGTTGTTTGGAGAAGTAATCTAACACACTTGCATTGACAATTGCTGTGGTGAGAACACTGGAAACCTGTCCTCTTAGCAAATCTCAGCAAATACTTATACTAACTGAGGTTAGTGCTGCATATTAGGGCTCCAGAACTTTTCACCCCATCACTGCAAGTTGGTGCCATTTGGCCAGCAGCTCCTGTCCCTGTGGACACCCCAACTTAGGTCTCCTGGACTCCAGGAATGGGAGGGAAGAAATGTCTGCTCTCTTAACCACCACAAGGAAATGGCCTTTCCTTCACCCTCGCTAGGAGCCCAGCACAAATCCTTCCCTGTAATGCATCTCAGATTGCCTCCCTGACACTCCAGAGCATGGCCAAGCACACGACATACCTGGATGCTTGGACATCGCTGTGGATGGGCTCCATCACCAAATGGGCTCTGCCACACCTGTCATCCTCTCGTCCAGCCTTCGCTCCTCTGCAGTGGCCTCTCTCCCCTCCACATGCGAGTGAATCACACACCTGCTGGGTGCAGACCACATAGCGCCACTGGGTCCCTCTCACCAACTCATGGCTGTTCTTGCTCTTCCCATCTCACGAGTGGGAGACAGAAGCAGAGAAAGTGGGCACCCTCGGCAAAGCTTCCTACCTCTTTGCGTGTAAGGGCTTTAGTCACCTTAACCCAACTCTGGAATAAATGGCATTCCCACCTGTGGGAACCGATGACTTAATCACTCTCCCAGTGCTGCAATAAAATACCCAACACCCTCAGCTCCAAGGAGGAGAGGTTTATTTAGCTCACAGTTTCCAGTGGGTTCAGCCCACGGTCTGATGGCTCTAAGGCAGCAAGGGTGGGAAAGCCAAAGGAGGAAAGCTGTTCAGTCCATGGCAACTGGGAAGCAGAAAAGGCTGAAGTCAGGAACAAGAATACAACTTCCAGTTCACACATCCAGGGCCCTCCCTCCATCCAGGCCCCTCCCCCTAACAGCCCATTTATCTCTGAAATCATCAGTGGGTGAATCTACTGATGGGTGCAGCACTTCCTGATCCAATCACCCTTCAATCCCTGAGACCTTTAGATCCAAACCAAAGGACCAGGCAGTGGGCCTGACCCAAATACAAACACTCCTGGACCCAGTTCACTCCTTCTCTCCAGGAGAGGCTGTTGGCTTCCTATCTGTTCCTGTGTGGGCCTGCACTCCTTAGAATCCTCTATCCCCTGTAAACGTGGTGTACTCCACTTTCTGTGTGCAAACCTCAAGACAGTTCACAGAATTCAGTGCAGGCGAGTCAGTGGTACCTTGTTTACACACCATGCACAGGGGGCAGGCACTAAAACCGAGCAGTGGTCAATATTTTGTGTTTGATGAGAGGCCAAGCAGTGAGAATGCATTTTAATGTCTCCTGTTTATGAGTTTCCAAGGAGATTTCTGGCTAATGAAGGACGTACTCTGTCAAGCATGTGTGTTCCCTGTCTCTGGGCTGCCTGACTGTTAACTCCCCAGCCACACACAGCTTTCTGCCTTGGCACAGCGGGTGAGTCCTCCTGGGACAGGCCCAACTCAGTGCTCCCTGGGCTCTCGCCGTGGCTCGGCAGCCGCAGCTGCACACATCTCCCCAGCAAGGAGATCGGTCTGGGCCAGGCTGTCAGGGACAATGTGAGCCCCACATAACCATGAAGCTTCTAACACAGCATCAGATGTTGGGAAACAGTAATAACCTGTTTTCTCCTCCAGACAAAGGCCCACGCCACTCCTGGGCACAGCATGCAGAAACATCTCTTTTCTTCTCCAGTGTGGCAGCCGGAATCAGTGTTGACCTTGGTCAGCAGGAACTGACAGGCAGCTACTGCTCCAGATGGCACCCAGGTCTCAATGGCTTCCTAAAGAAGGTGAAGCCTGGGAAGTGCCACACCTGCACACAGGCTCCGTGCCAACACCCAAGGCCCCTCTGGAACTGACTGACCTTCAACCATTGTCCCCCCACTTCCCTCCCCTGCATATCATCCTGCAGGCTTTTCATGCTTCTGAAAGCCCTTGGGGTACTTGGACATGATCTCCAGACTGCAGCTGTTCTGAGACGGGATGCTCTGAGTTAGAGGGCTGCCTGCTCAGAGGACCCAGCAAGGATTGTGTGCTAACCTGTCTAAGCACAGGGCTTCTTCTGTTTTTAGTTTAAGTTGTCTTATGCATTTGTCCAGCTCTTGCTTTTTAATTTAATTAATTAATCTGTAGATGCTTTAAGATTTTATATTTTCTGGTCTACATCTCTAGACATTTTACGTTTCTATTTTCAGAGAGTTGCTCGGTTGCCCAGGCTGGGCTCAGACCTGCCGCCTCACTGCCCCAGCCTCCAGAAGTGCAAGAGGACAGGAGCATGCCCGTGCCTGCCAAATTCACCATGCTTCCAAAAGCCTTAAATGACCAGTATCCCTTTCAGGACAGGCAAATTAAAGACCTCATTGCTGGTTTAATGGGGAACATGTGTCATTATTCTGGTGACCAATGACGCAGGCTTTAATCCAAGCCTGACATGAAAAGTTGGATTAGAACCAGAAGGCAGCAGAGGAGGTGGCATTTCTCCTTGTCCGCCTGTCCTCTTCAACCTGTACCTCTTTTATTTCTTTTCCTTTTGACTGCATTTTTATTTCAATGCTCTCGCTCTTCCCATTTTCCTCCTAATCTCTTTCCAGCCTATCATTTAGAAAAGATAATGAGGGTTAATCGCTTCCCTCAGTGTTGATTGACTTACATGCACAATGATGGCTGGCCCTCAGTGACTCTACCCACCTGCAGCCTCTCTGACTTCCCCTCCTCTCTCCAGCACCTGACAACCGCTGGCCACTGGCCTCAAGGCTGCCACTCTCCTTGGGAACCCATCCACCATGGGCCCTTGCTGAACCTCGCAGTTATCAGAACACCCATAAGAAGCCACCCACACCCAGCTGTGCCCCAGTCCATAGGGCCCGTGTCTGTCAGCTGCACCCTCAGTGCTCAGAGTCCTTGGCATCACCACAGTTCAGGCCAGAGACAGACCTGCAAGATAAGGAAGCAATCTCAGTCTCAAACACCAGCGGGGCTCCTGATCCCTGATCCCTGCTGCATCCTGCCAGACAGCTCTCCTTCGTGGTCAGTGGAGACAGAAGACTTCACCCTTCTCTGGACTGGAACAGAAAACTCAAAGTTTCCATCTTGCATGGTGATTGGAAGAAGCCTAGCCTCCCATGGCCTAGGGAGGCCATGGGAGAGTTGCAGGCACGGGAATTGTGACCTTTCCAGTTCAGCAGAATGGGTAAGGAGGGAAGTGTAGACACACACAGGGACACAAAAGTGAGTGATTCAGCTGCACCTCACCTTTGCCCCCCACACGCTGCTGTGCTCCCTCTCGGATCCCCTTCTCTCTCCTCCACCTCCACCTTCTTTGTGTTTCTCACTTCCTACTTTGTCCCTCCACAGTGCTCGGGCTCCTGGGACTCCTGTCACAGCCATGCAGAACAGAGGTGACCAGCCTAGGTCACCAGCTCCCAGAGGTCCAATGACAGTGCATCTTTTCTTGTTCCCTAAATCTTCAAATTATTTAAAGCCAATGGTACAAATGTCTTCTATCCCAACCTTTCTTAATGACTGGAACAGCTGGCGATGTTGTTCTGCGTATCTACACAGCAGCAGCAGCAGTCAGGAGGAACTGTGCAGTGTGTGTCACCCCAGACTACAGCTCTCACTCCCCAGAGGCAGCTCCGTGGCTTATCATCATGGGCTGAGCCCCTCTGTATCCCCCAAACTCCTGTTTTGAGCTCTAGCACCCATTGTGGGGATGTCAGAATTCAGACCTTAGCAAGATAATGCCATCTTGGGATGAAGCCATTATGGACGGGGTTGGGCCCTTACAGAAAAGGGCCACCTGCGTGGATGGAGGAACCCACGCCACGTGGCATTTGCCCTTGGCTGACTCCATGCCTGTGGATTCCGCACCCTGGCCACAGCCACCTACGAATTCCAACTCTGCTCTGTGTTTTGTTTCTCTTTGGCATCAGAGCCTAGAGATCCCAACCAACTGACCAACCTGACTGTGGAGGAGGTCAGTGCCCCAGGAAAGAAGGTAAGAGTCAGGAGCTCCAGGAAGAAATAACAGGTGTGGCCGGCAGCCCTGGGACACCATATGGCATCGTAAACTACAGAAAACAATGTGAGGTTTTAGTCTGAAAGTGACTGCTTCATAGTGTGTTAGTACTGGAGAAGAACCTCGGTGCAGTGCTTAATGAGTGTTTACCTCTGGGAAGAGGTTATGACGGTGCCTCAGAACAATGACAGAACAACTCCACTTCAGGGTTTCCAAGGCCGTCTCCCACAATAATTAGGAGAGACAGCCACAGGAGACAGCTGCAGCGTGGGTATGGGCTGAACATAAGCCCCTTGAGAACTCCAAACTGAGCCACGTGAGTGGCTTTAGAGGCAGCTGGATCTAGAAGTCCTGACACTAAATCCAAAAGTCAGCTTGAACCCCTGCCCTACGGCCTGCATCCAGCAGAGTCCACAGGGCTCTGATTGCTTTTGCCATTTACCAGCGTGAGCAAGGACATGCCTCAGCTTGACCGATGGCCACAGTCTGGGGTGTATGGGCAGAGAGGCCCCTGGAGGAAAAAGCGCACCTCACAAACTCACAGACTGTATGCTATGTGGGGAAAATTGTGAACTGCTTGACTTCAAGACTGGAGGTCCTGGAAAGCAACCACTTATCAAAAATGCAGAGAAATACTCTTGAGGACTCAGGTTTTTTTTTTTTTTTCCTTATTGAGGGGATTCTTTCTTTCTTTCTTTCCCCCTTTTTTCTTTTTCTTTTTTGTTTTAACTTTTTCCCTTTTGTCTTTTTTTATTTAAAACATGTTCTATTCTTCTTCTTTTTTCTTGCTTGTTCTTTTCTATTGCTGTCATCTACTATTATTAATTTCCTTTTACTCCTCAATAGAATCCTCTATCACAATTTTTCTGCCTTTTCATCTTCCCTTGATTGATATTTCAAATTTTTTCTCAGTGAGTCTTTCCTTACCCCCTCTGTCTTCACTAGAACAACAGTTAAGCTTTATGAATCTTTAGACAGCTAACTCTATGCTTTTCCTGTTTCATACTATTGTTAATAGAGGCACAGTTGTTCCATTTGATAGATATTTACATTAGGTCAATATCCGGTTTGTCTTAGTGTTTGTAGGTCTCTTTTTTAAAGTTAAGAATGGTACATGGGTTCTTAGGGTATGTCAACATCCAGTTTGTTTTTAACACTATTATTGTTGCCAGTTTTATTAACATACTCAAGACACCATAATTGTTGCCATCAATTGGTTTTCTCTGTATGTCAATATCTAGGTTGCCTTGTGTCATTACGAATACTGTGGCATATTCCAAGAGAAATGGATAGTGAGTCACTTACACTGCAGTCTCACCTCCAAAATAAACGGGAGTGGTGAAATTCTGGGACAAAGCAAAGGCCATATAATACTCAATAAAGCATGCTTAAGTAAATGCAAAAGAATCAAAATTATTCCACACCCATTATCACATCATTGTGCAATGGAACTACAGACATTATGCAAACACAAGGAAGTTCAGCAATACTGTCTTGAATCAACACGTCATAGAAGGAATCAAGAAAGAGATCCAAATAAATAACTGTATGATGAATCTTAAGGTCACAGAAAGTCAAGAATAATCCAAATGCAAAGCTAGAGCCAGACAGAAAATTACTGACTCAGAAAAAAAATCAATGAAATGCAGCATAAAAAACAATAAAAGAATCAATGAATTTAAGTTATTCAAAAAATACACAAACCCTTTGAAAATAACATGAAAAGGAAAGGAAGGACCCAAATCAATGCAATTAGAAACAGCAGCAGTGAAATCACAAAAGACACTACCCAAGTCCAGAAGAACTCAGAAGGAATAGATGGATTAATAGATACATATTATTACCAAAATGGAGCCAAGAATATACAAAAACCCTGAATAATTCATTAGCAAAAAATGAAATTAAATCAGTAACTTAAAAAAAAAAAAACTACCAACTAAGAAAAGTTTAGGTCTTAACATATTCACCATCAAAATTTTTAAGAATGTCAGGGAAGATTAATCACCAATACTCTTCAGTCTCTTTAATGAGATCAAAAGAGGAGAAGAATCCCCCAAGTCCCTCTTGGAAGCTAACATTACCCTGATCTCAAAACCAGACAAAAGCAGACCCACCTACCCACCCCACTCCCACAAAAAAAGAAAGAAAAAAGAAAACCTATAGGATAATCTCTTTAATGTATAGTAAATATAGATGTAAAAATCCTCAGCAAGATATAGGAATACAGAATGTGGCAAGTCATCAAAAAGATCATACATTTGAAGTACTTTCATCTCACAGATGCAAGGATGATTCAACACACACAAATCAATAAATGTTATACATTAATATAAATATGAAAAAAGACAAAAATCACATGGTAACTTCAATAAATATAGAAAATTCTTTGACAAACTCCAACATTGATTCTTGATTTAAAGAAAAAATAAATATAAAAGGACCTTATCTCAAGCTGATAAAAGCCATTTATGATAAACCTACTACCACCGTCATACTAAATGGAGAAAAATGGAAAACATTCCCTTTAAAATTGAGAACAAGATAAGGATGTCCACTATTGCCTGTCTGTTTCAGTACAGTACTTGAAACATTATCCAGAGCAATCAGAAAAGAAAAAACATAAAAGAGACATGGGTAGGACAGGAAGAAGTCAAATCATCACTATGTACAGAAAACATGATCCTCTACATAGAAGGCTCAGAAACTTTCACCAAAGACTCAAAGAATTAATAACCAAATTCACCAATGTAGATGGGAACAAATTCAACACAAAAAAAATCAGTAGCGTCCCTGTGTACCAGTAATGAATTTATGGGAACAGAAATTAGGAAAACAATGCCATTCACAGTAGCATTCAAAAAATTATTTACTTAAGAATTAACCTAATTAAGGAAGTGAAAAACTTCTACAATCAAAACTACTATACTCTGAAAATGGAGATATCAAAAAATGAAAGTGATTCCCTGTTCCTACATAGATTAAACCAATATTGTCAAAATGGCCTTATTTAAAATACTATTATTTACAAACTTAACACCACTGCAATCAAATACCAACAGCATTCCTCACAGAACTAGAGAAAACCATCCTAAAATTTATATGGTATAGGGGAAATCAGAAGAGCAATAACAATTTGAAGTTATATCACAAAGCTACACTGAATTTAAGTGTACTACAAATCTACAGTAACGTTATATTTGAAGTTATATTTCAAAGCCACAATGAAAAAATCAGTATGTCACTGGCACAAAAACAGGCATGTGAATTACTGTTATTTGATCTTCAACAAAGAGTTCAAAAAATGTAACTGTTGGGAAGACAGTCTCTTCAATAAATGATGCTGGGAAACTGGCTATCCATGTGCCAAAGACTGAATCTAAACGCATGTCTCTCCCCATGTACTAAACTAAAATCAACCTGGATCAAAGATTTAAATGTGAAGACAGAGGCATAATCCAATCTAAAACAAAACAGATAAAACTCTTATAGACATGAATACAGGTGAGGACTTTCTGAACAGGACCCCAGTGGCACAAGAAATAATACCAAGAATCAACAAATGTGATCATATCAATCAGAAAGCTTTTACACAGCAAAGAACACAACCGATAGAATGAAGACAGCTTACATAATAAGAAAAAGTTGTTTTCCAGCTGTTCTTTAGACAGAGAACTAAGATGCAGAACGAAAAGAGCTTCAAAAAGTAGAGCCCCCCATCAAAGACTGACCAAAAAATCAATGACTTTCAGAAGTACAAATCAAATGGCCAATAAATATAAGGACAAAATCCAAGATTGTTGGTGATTAGAGAAAATGCAAATTAAAATAGCACTCAGCTTCCATCTTACTCCAGAAAAAACAGCCACCAAGAAATCAAGTAACACATGCTGGCGAGACTGAGGGAGACAGGGACACCCTTCGACCCTGTGCTGGGAGTGTAAACCAGCACAACCACTGTGGGCATCGGCATGGAGGTTTTCAAAAAAGTAAAATGAGAAATTCCATTCAACCCAGCTACTCTCCTTCCAAGTATCTTCCCAGAAGAATTAAAGACATCGTATTACAGGGATACACACACATCCACGTTTACAGAAGCTCAGCTGGATACTGATGTGGCCTATATGTCCACCTAAGATGAGTGG